GTTCTTCTTTAACTTACGTCTGCTCTATGAGGAGGTACAGCCAAAACAAATCTACGCACACTTGAAATTATACACAATGAATGTCTTCGTTGTTGATTTAGTTCTTCCTTGTGAAATAAAAAAACTAACACAGAGGGAAATAACAAAAGAAACCCTGGACAAATTGGATAAACAAGTATCAACCAGTTTTCACCCCTTTCTTCAATCCAATTCCAGCACAAGCTTCCAACTCCAGCGCGCATTGGCCCTGGAAAACGGCGATTTTTAGGCTCCGTTACTCGCTGAATCAGTAGGAACACTTACTTTCGCGGGGTATGTGTGTAATGCCCGGCTTTATATAACCAAAATATGAGGCCCACGAGAGAAAAGAGGAGACATGCAATATGTTCTTATAATATATTTTCCAACAGTATATTCTAACTCGTGTCAAATTATGATGTAAAAAAAACAACAAAGTCGAAATTGTAGGTATAAAACGAAAATGAAACGTCCGATATGTTTGTAAATATTTCGCAAAGTAAGCTTTAGGATAAAAAGAAATGGAGTATTATTCCATTTGAATGCGGAGGTTAAGCACTTCCAGCGTTGCCAGTAAATTTTGACTGCTAGATGTACAACTAGGGAACGTCACAACCATGCTCTCAGAAATATGCATTTATTTCTTGGGAGCGTCGCGACCTACACCGATGTCGGAAATACGTGGGTGAACTATTCCGTGGTCTATCTGGCTTCAGCCAATGAGCTTTATGCTCCAGTTTGCGTCACAGTATTAGCGGGAATTTTAAATGCAGCCAGATAACAAAATTATCACTTTGTTACAAGTCATTTAAACAGATATATGAAGTATACACAAAAAATATTGCGTTTTTTTTACTTCAACTACATATTTTTCGTGTTACTTTTGATTGATCACCGTTGCAAATTGTCACTTTATGCCACTCAAAACTATATGAATGCCATGCAGCATGGCGGCTAGCGTCTGGCCTGGCTTCTCAAATGACGTGCTCCAGTTGAGACCAAACGGTTCAAGACATTAGTGCTGCGCAGATCGAACAAATATCGGTGCGCCGGACCAGCTCACAGATGTCTTTTCATACGTCCATGAACCTTGAAGCAGCCACACCCATCTGTAGGAGGCGTTGTGTGAGGCATTCCGGCTAACTGAATATGGGATTTGATTCGGTGGGGAATTGCTGGATGATATAATTTTGCCATGTGCTGAGATAGGATTCTTTTAACCGTCGTACATACAAGTATTTATCAGTGGCATGACTGAAATATTAGTGATTCCGGGCGCGGCAACTGCTAAGGTTATTAGTCCCGTAAATGTATTGCACGTTTCCCTCGGGACGTGGCGGTTTAACTTTTCCCACTGGATGGTGACATCCGGCGGTGACCTACCTGGCGGCTGACGGTGCTTTTGCCAACCAGGTCTCTCCCACCAGCGGAACACCGCCCCAGCCGGGACGAACTCTTCGCTCCCGACCGGTCTCCAAGCAAGTGTGGAAGTGTGATGCATGCAAGTGTAAGTGAGAGCTGAGGATAGTGCAAGGAGGGGGAAGGAATGATTGCGCGCGGTCCGTAGCCCGTTTGTTAAGAGTACTGCTCCGGCATTCGACTGGTGTTAATTATAAAACTTCAGTGGCACGGCTAATGACGATATTCCGCCCTTCAAAAATCCGCGCACCTCATCCGAATTCGATTCGTTTCGATCGATTAGATCTAAGATTAGAAGTTAATAAGCTGCCCACCCTTCTGTGGACAATGAGACATTGCGTCGCTGGTTGTTAATTGCCGTAATAACTTTACTTGTGAATAAAATGCGAACTTATTTGACTTCGCCTTTACATCCTACTAGGTGATTTTACTTGATATATATTGTCTTCCGTGGATCCCTAGTTCAGGTCGATGGAGGATCATCTAAAGAAATAAGAAGACGAATTGCTCTAGGAAGAGAGGCAGTGAGTAGGCTTACCCCAATTTGGAAAGATGACCACATATCCCGAAATAGCAAACTAAGCCTACTTAAGACTTTAGCCTTCCCTGTGATGTTATATGAAGCAGAAACCTGGACTATTAAGACAACAGATATAAAAAGAATTAATGCCTTTGAAATGTGGGCCTACCGGCGACTGTTGAGAGTATCATGGACAGAAAGAGAGACTAATCTCTCAATCATAAATAGACTAAACATTCAGCAGAGATTGGCTGACATTTGCAAGCAAGAGATATTGAGATTCCTGGGACACATAGTACGAAGGAATGGAGGATGGCTTGAGAAACGGATAGTCCAAGGTAAAGTAGAAGGAAAAAGAGGCCGAGGAAGAACAGCCATGAGATGGATAGACCAATGTAAAACATTCACTTGTATGAGCCTGGAAGAGGCAATGCGGAAGGCAGAGAACAGAGAAGAATGGAAAAATACTGTGGGAGCCATCTAGATGGGTCACCTAACTTCCGTCTGTGGAAGATCAGGAGCAAAGAAGAAGATATTGTCTTGAAATTTCTTGTTAAGATTAATGCTTTCTCATTATTTCAGATTTGACTGCCTTACCTGATTTTTGAATTAACTAATCTAGCTCTATTTTATTTATTCCTAATGCAGTGCGTGGAAGTTTTACTTCCTGTAATATTTTACCTTTACCAGTAGCAATGTCATTTTGACCCTAGGACACTACAATAATAATTTATAAATCCCTTTTTTCCCTGCATGTAAAAGCAGTTTGATGAGGAATTTTATCTTTATTTTGAGGACAAGATTGTTTATTTTTCTTTATTTCACAGATAACATTAACTACTATGTCTATAACAAACACAAATATCCGCAACAGAATTAATACAGCATACAAACAACAGTATTCATATAAATAATTACTTCTACAGATTACGGAACACTATCCGAAAACTTAACACTTTGATTTACTGGCTGTATTGCAGACGTGACTACACTTATCCACTCGTACCTATACATACATATATGATACATACTCACAGAACATACATACACATTAGACACACAGGCACACGCACAAACACATTTGTGTATAAACACATAGTAGTACATACAGATGCCTGCACATTGTCATTTATACGCATACACAAACAACTAAGGATAAAAATTGAACCTAACACCACAATATAATAAATAAAATAACATCAAACAACTTAATTTGCATTTTAACACTTGATACACTTACTCACTACTATAGAAAAAATCATAGCATGTACCCCAGCAAACGAAGCAGATTATCATAAAAAAAGAGGGAGAGAGAAAAGCAAAGATAAATATTTAATGAGGAACAAAAATAGTAATTTATTTTTTAATGGAGTTTATGTAAAATTGTTAAGTACTTATGAGATGCGAAGCAAACAAGTAGAATTCTGGCAATTTTTAGCCGAATTAGTGATTTTATTTTTTTATCAACGGTTAGGGTGTAAATATTAGAAAGAGAAGAATTAATAACAAAATTACCATTTAATACGAATATCTTTATAAATTTTAGGATTGAACTTTCTGACATCGTATTATCTTGGCAAAAATAGCATGAGTCCCAGGAAAATGAAAATATACAGGTACATTTTTGTAACAAGGAGATACCGATTTAAGAGAAGCATTGAAAGGAAAGAATTAATTAATAAACACTGGGCTTTTTTAACATTTTTCTTTCTCAATTAAATATTTTATTAAATGAGGAATAATTTATAAAATGTATAAGCCTTCACTGGAAAAATAGAAGTACTTTGTTGATATACATTTTATTTTATTTTCAATTCATTTTTGTGGAGCCACTCATTGAGAAAGATTTCATGAAAGTGTCTAACTGACTCCTGAAGATTCTCCTGCCCCAATTTGTCGTATTCACCCCAAAATTATTAACTATTTATGAGAAAACGTCATGATACAACACACACACATGGGGTGATTTGAAATGATTGGGACAGAAAATACCACACACAGTTTGTTGATTTTCATAATAAACAACGGTTGCAGTTTTTATGCAAATATTCTTGTTTTCGAGAAATTTTATGCAAATATTCTATGTTTTTGTAACTTACGGGCCCAAAATTTGTACTGACCCTCACCGGCGCAAAATGGAACGCGCTCCTTCATTTGTTCTTTTCTACGGTATTGGTTCAACGATGAGTTAAATTTAATATGTGAAGTAAAAGAGAGTAGAGAACTTACTGGAGACAGACAGTTCAATAGCAGGGAAACATTTTTATTTAAACTTTTGACTTAAAAAAATAAAGATTTATTTTTTGCCTCTTGAACTTTGAATCGATAAGAGTTTTGTGTTTTTAGTGATAGCTGAAGGGTGAGAAGGAAATAAGTTGTATTATATAATGGTACGCAATCGTTGAAACCCGATGAAAATAATTTCCCTCAATAGCTATCAACTAAAAAATAATGCATTTCCCCTCAAGCTTAAAAGCAAATGTTTTGACACCCAGATGAAACAAAATGTGTACAGGGTTTTCTTTTCTTTCCTCCCCTGACAATCTGCTATGTTGTATTTTATTACACTTTTTTTAAATTCCGTATTTCTGACTTAACACTTTTACAGCCAAAATGAAAGTAAAAAGTGAATTATAAATAAATGTTCAGTTTATTGTTCGTTTCAGTGGAAATGTGATTCATGGGTAATTAATTTTTCACTTCTTTAAATTATCTTATTTTATTTAACGTTAAAAGAGGTTCTTCCACGTTTGCTACTTTGTGTGCTTGTTTATTTGGTAGCCATCGGTATATAACGGGAGAGAGTAAATCTCTGTTTATTTTCTCAGAATTATTAGGTCCAGTAAAGAAACTCACAATCGAGCCCACAATAATTACAGTTAAACATCCAATCGTACTGAAATACATAAACGATATTCTGAATAGTATAAATGGTGGTTCTGGAGCAGGTTCTCTGTGAATAAAAAATATTTATATTTTTTGTTAATATCTCCTTTTTAAAGATGACCTAACTTGCAAACATGTGAAATGAATAAGAACTTACTTTACATAATTGAAATGGTTACTTCTTTCCATTGTTGAATTGAAGAGATGATGGCAGCCATCGACAGAAACAGGCTTTTTCTCATACAAAAGTTGCTTTGAAGCAATAGCAGTTTGTGAACCCACAACCAATATGCTTACAAAAATTAGACTTGTTAATCCACCAGTTAATGCACCCTGAAAAATAATTAACAGGTTTAATAATTAACGTTAAAATAATTAACATATCTAACAAATAATTAACATGAATAATAAACAACATTTCTATCTTCAACGCTATATAGTATTTGAGTAAATCCTCGAGTGTGAGGATATGTGGTTCCGTCACTCACGGTGAAACCAGTTGCCCTGCACCAATCGAGATATAAGACGTGACATTCAATGCGCCTCAGTCTCCTGACGCGGAACTGACAATTTGTTTTGGATTCGGCTACAAATTCTAAAAAAATTCCAAAAAAGTGTTTTAGCGTGTTTTGGCACTGCGATCTTGGTCAGTATGCTAGTAATTAAACCAACGCCACCTAAATACATTGTTTGTCGGCGTTCATTAAACTCCAGTTGCTAAAGGCATTTTTCGAAGGGAAAAACAAAAAGAAAGTCGATCAAAGATATGACGAAAGAGACATTGAAGTAAAAAGACAAGATAATTTTCGTCTTACAACGAATTGCTGAAACTCATAGATTATACTGTACGTACATAGCTTTACAAACCCCTTTGATGGTTCAAATCCACTGAAATTGTGTTGAATACATTGTGAGAATTTTTCTAAAATTTTAATTAGAAATGACTCACTTTGTTGAGAATTTAATAAATAATCGCTCTTGTATCCTGCAAAACGTGTTGATTAACTGGTAATACAATTGGCGAATTTTGGTTTCCTGTGCCTCATTTAGGAATTTGATAGAATTAAACTACGACTCAAATCAACTTGATTCAATGATAAACAATAAAGAACCTAAACTAAACTCACGCAAAATAAAATTTAGGAACATATACGGGATACGGGGAAAGTGTTAAAACCGCTGTTTGCCGTATATTTTTAATGCACCAAGCGGTATAGGTAAAACATTCCCCATTAAATTATTTTGTCAATGATTTCGAGAAACTAATATTGCAATCGCACTCGCATTATCAGTTAAAGCGGCGGTGCTTTTGCTAGATATTAAAATCGCACACACAAACACCGATGTATGGCATTACTGTTTGAAAATAACATCTGGAGTGTGGTATTTTTAAAAGCTTGCGGGTAGCCCATATAATGTTCTGTAAGCAGCTTTCTGTTTTTTCAATCCATGGTTTCAATTTATTGCTTAGTTCAGTCAGAAAATGTACTTAGCTATAGTCATTCCCAAAGAACCCATTCCGGAAATTTTATTCCTCGAGTTCAGGGCGGACTGCATGACGAGTCTTACTTTCCGAATTATCGCCCTCGTTTCGAATTATCACTCTCCTTGTGTAGTTAGAGGTGTCACATTTGTCAAAGTATAAAATGTGAATCTTCTGAAAGTTACCTGCTATATTTCGAAGCGACTACCTGCCAACTGTTCTTGAAAAAAACGTTTTCTCAACATCGACTTATTTATTACAAGCGGAACCCGGCAGGCGCTGTTCTGCCCTTTATCATCCTCTTTCTCGTTTCCTCTCCTTTTCTCTCTCCGTCTCTCCCTCTCAATCTCTCTCTTCTTTTCTCCCTCTCTCAATCTGTTTCTCAGGGTGTCTTCATCTCTCTGTCCATCTCGCTTTTCGTCTCTCCCTCCGCCTCGCTCTGTTCCTGTCTCATTCTGCCATTCTAATACACACTTACAAGCCGAGATCGCTGTAGCAGTAGTGTTGTTGAAGGATCACGGGTTCGAATCCCGCCTCGGGCATGGATGTATTTGTGATCACTTCACCCTTCATCATCATCATCCTATCACTTCATTAAAGAAGGATTCTAATTATTCCTGTGCTAGCAGGAGGCCCTGGCCCTCAATGGGATGTGCAGTTGGCTAATAAACAAATGCCTCACGTGGCTCGGTAGGTAAGAGAGAACAACGTCACAAATGTCAAGAGATTTGTAGGTTTTGACTGGCTGAAGGTGCAATGTTGTTCCCAGAGCGTATGCTGGCTTGAATAATCTCTACCGTTGTCACTTCTCATCTCTTTATTTTGACATCGGCAGATTCACCAATATCAAATTTTATGCAAATGCCATTGCTGAATTAAATTACCGCAAGCAACGTTTGAAACAGAATCGATTCATTCCTAGATTACAATTGTGTAGATAGTACGCTCAAACTAATGCATGACAAAAGACGAGAGAGAATCTTCTTGAAATGTTCCATTTTAATCTGAATATTTGTTGCTACTACTACTTGCAGATTGCTATAAGTAACCTGATGCTTCGTGACTTCCTACTAGCATTGCAAACATCAGTAATTCGAGGATGAAATTGGTACATCTCCACGGTCTTCAGAGTACAATCCTGAGGTACAGTGTGAAATGCCCGCGCAAATGCCTTTTTCGTTTCCCTACAACTTTTAAGTTGATTTTGTTGAATAACAATATTTGCTTTGCGGGGCCTTTCTGTTCTCTTGGCCACTCATGGTTTTCCAACAGGTGTCTGTACATTCTTTAGCTATAGTTGCTGTAATTACTTAATACTTATTGGAAAATAACTGATTGATTTATAATTTTCTAAGAGTACTGCCTCCACCTTAGGGAAGCAGGTATGTGAATGAATCATATGTCAACTGATCCGGCAGATCTTCTGCTTTTTCTAAAATGTCCTTAACACCCTTTGCCAGGGGGGAATGTGGTGCTGTCAATTATTTGATCCAATAATTCTGTAAAAGACGAATATATTGATTTTGGATCCAACGAATATATATATATATATATATATATATATATATATATATGTATA